ATGTATTAGGCATGTATTAGGAATACATTAGGCATGTACGAGGAATGTATTAGGCATGTATTAGGAATACATTAGGCATGTACGAGAAATGTATTAGGCATGTATTAGGAATACATTAGGCATGTGCGAGGCATGTATTAGGCATGTATTAGGAATACATTAGGCATGTACGAGGAATGTATTAGGCATGTATTAGGAATACATTAGGCATGTACGAGGAATGTATTAGGCATGTATTAGGAATACATTAGGCATGTACGAGAAATGTATTAGGCATGTATTAGGAATACATTAGGCATGTGCGAGGAATTTATTAGGCATGTAGTAGGAATACATTAGGCATGTGCGAGGAATGTATTCGGAAGGTATATGGTAACTTTCAGGAATGTAATAGGAACCTATCATCTTTCTTTTCTATTTCGATTGATAGGCTATCAGCTAAAACATCAGAGAGACCGTCTCTGACCGTAGACATCAGAGAGACCCTCTAAGCGTGTAAACTCTACACGCTTAGAGGGTCTCTCTGATGTCTACGGTCAGAGACGGTCTCTCTGATGTTTTAGCTCAGTGGTTCCCAAAGTGGGCGATATCGCCCCCCTAGGGGCGGTGGAAGGATTTTGGGGGGCGGTAAGGAAGAATAGGGCGTTTGGGGGGCGGTAGTCCGAAGTCAATGTCAGAAGTTCGAATGTTTGTTTGACGATTTGTACACAACACGTGCAGCACATCATGACTCCCAGCAATGGTTTTTTTCACCCAGATCTGTTTTTTAACCTCTCCTGGGTTTAAGTCTCGGACAAATTAACGGCCGGACACGCGGCCGGTCTCACGGCCAATTTCCAAATTCAATGATGAAGGAATATCTCTCAAACTAATGAACTTATCTCGTTGAAAGTTGGTACACGTATTCATTAGGACCTAACGGTAATGCTTAGCTCGAGAAATTTTTTAGAATTTTGCCTTCATATGTTTTTGCCATAGTTATATGACAATACGGGCCGAAATTCACTGTGATCAAGGAATTTCTTTCAAACTATTGAACAGATTCGAACGAAAATTTGAATTTAGAGTCCTAACTACCGAACGGTAATGTTTAGCTCGGAAAAATTTATTCGATTGTTCCTTTGTTCGCGAGGTTTTTTTTTTTATTTCACCTTCATTCGTGATTTAAACAGCTATACGTGCTTAAATTCTCAGTAATCAAGAAATTTATTCCAAAACTACTGAACAAATTTGAACGAAACTTAGTATTTAAATACCTAACCTCAGCAACGGTGATTTTTAGCTCGGTACAATTTTTTCGTTTTGCCTTCGTTTGCGAGTTATACGGCTATATGTATACGGACATACGTAAACGGCTCTTGGTTAAACCGGCCGGTGGAAAAGCCGGTCGTTCCTCCTATATCTGTATAACTCGCGAACGAAAGCAAAACAGAAAAATTGTCACGAGCCAAACATCACCGTTGGGAGGTTAGGTATTTACATTCAAAGTTTCGTTGAAATCTATTGAGTAGTTTAGAAGAAATTTCTTGATTGCCGCGAATTTAAGCGACAAATTATCCGGCGATACGGGCCGAATATAAGAAAGAGTGAAATCAAGAATGACGGTGAAATGAAAAAAAAATTCGCAAACGAAGGTAAAATCGAATTTTTTTAAGTTAAAAAATCACCGTTTGGTAGTTAGGAATGTATATTCAAAATTTCGTTGAAATCTGATCAGTAGTTTGGAAGCAATTCTTTGATCACTGCGAATTTCGGCCTTTATCGCAATATAACTCACGAATGAAGGTGAAATTTAAACAATTATTACGAGCTAAACATCACTGTTAGGTTCTGATGAAGACATGTTCCAAGTTTCATATATTACTTGATAATTGAATTTGGAGATTGGTCGTTCGACCGGCCACGAGTCCGGCCGTAAATTTGCCCAATACGTCCTAGGTTTCTAGTGCTGAAACAGTTAAGACAGCTTGAAAACATATTGTTTCACTGAATGGGGTTCTATTTGTGAAATAAACATTTATGTTCAACCTTCGTCTTTTAAAATTGCAGCGTACTAAATTTAAAGAAAGAGGCGAATGTTTTTACATGTGTCTGTGGGGGGCGCTAGAAATTCACCAGGGAGCCAAAGGGAGCGCCAGCCTGAAAAAGTTTGGGAACCACTGGTAGCCCGTGCGCATCAGAGAGACCCTCTAAGCGTGTAGTTTGCTTTGCTGATGTCAGCAAGTAGCTGGTCTAGCAGACACGCGTCGTCAGCGCCTGACGTCAGGTAGCCTGGCTTCCTGACACGTCGTTTCTTGTGACGCAGTTCGACGTCAGCGAGACGTTCACTGTCAGCTTCTTGCTGACGTTTGACGTCAGCCTGACGACTTCGTCGTTCAGGATGACGTGGGGAGCTGGCGTCAGCGAGCTGACGTAGAGACTGACGTCTCTCCAGTTCTTTGTTACGTTCCTCCTGATATTGCTGATGTCGAAGCTGTTTCGCCTTCAGTTCCGCCCTCCGCTCCAGCTCCTGACATCAGCAGTCACATATAATTAATATTTATGAACCCGCTTTTTAGCGCATTTTCTCGTTTATGGAAAAAATGCACTATTGTGCTCGCCATGTCCGTCTGTCCGTCCGTGACTTCACGTTTTCGTCGACAAGAAAATGCGCTCTCTGTCACTCACTGCAGTGAGTACTGAGTTATATTTCTGACTTACTACGTCTAGATATTACTTGTATCATGTAATGAATTCATGGTTAATTATAATAATTATTAAAAATGATTATCATTCATTCTTTTGACGTGTAGCCAAATCTGTCAATGGTTAATATTGAAGCTTGATTATATAATAGACATATAATCAATCGATTACTAAATATTTATTATAAATACTAAAATATTTATTACTTTTAAATCTAAAAATATATTTCATAAACATTTTCAGTTGGTTGAATGTTAATGTTTTTCGTAACCAGAAGCCAGGCCACGAGAGTTACCCTCAATAGACAAACGGTTAATCATTTTTGCTACAGTACATTAACAGTCGTCAACGCTGTTAGTATCCATAGATACTAATCATAATCATTCATCACGTTAACCCCCATATCCCCTTCACATTGAACCCTTACATTAAACCCTCATATCTACCCTCACATTAACACCTCACATCTACCCTCTCATTAAACCTTTACATCGATTCTCACATTGAACAGTTACACCAACCCTCACATTAAAACCTCACATCTACAAAATAATAATGTATTCTGAATTGATATTAAAATTGCATTTGGATAGTAAATTTAATTGGATTTTGATACAGTTCAATGATATTGAAGTCAAAATATTTCTTGTTATTGTTCAAATTAACTTAATTAACTTAATCCAGAAATGTGTTAGTGGAAGTCATTATTAAATTAAACTAGTATGATATCCTGGTCGATGAAATATTTTACCCATGCCCTGTATTAATGTCGATGAAATATTTTACTCATGTCATGTTCTAATGTCTAACTTTTGTTCGCAGGCCTTATTTTACGTACATGTTGACATCAAACTAATAAACTGAAACACGGTCCTGCATCCCCTATTACCCTACCTACATTTAGGGAAGCCTCAGCCAAATATAAAATCGTCAGCACAATATTAAACGAATAGTATTCCTCAATCGTCAGTGAGATTACTCAACCTCCCTCAGTCTTCCCTCAACTTCCCTCACATCTACCCTTGTGCCAAGAACCATTGACTCGGCGGATTAGCGGCGTCTCGGCCTATCGCATTTTAAGAATTCATTCACCTTGTAGCCGTCTTAGACAGATGAACTATCATCGTGTCAGTAGTCTCGCAATTTTGTTCCGTTAAATAGCCCTTGAAAACCAACGTAAGTTAAGTTTAGTTGCTAAGCCTTTTGAATAATATACCTACTGTTCAGTATATTCATGTACGTTTAGATTTGCTTTATGTTCTTGATTAGTCATTTGTCAAAATTTTCATTGAGCCAGTCTATTGTTTTCGTCATTGTATTTTGTTCTCCTGCTCTCTGGGCAGGTCCACGGATCTAAGTAAATTCTACAGCTACAAACGCTGCACGTTTTTTACCCCAAGCCAAAGTGGCGTTTACAATGCCTCGGCATTGACAACCCTCACATTAAACCCTCAGATATACCCTCACATTAAACCCTCACATCGACCTCCACATTAAATCCTCACATCTACCCTCACATTGACCCCTCACATCTACCCTCACATTAACCCCTCACATCTACCCTCACATTGACCCCTCACATTTACCCTCACATCTACCCTGACATCTACCCTCACCTTGCGGGCGTCCGCTATCTTGCAGCAGAGGTTATGGAAGATGGCAAAGCAATCCTCGAGGCGGAATTTCTTCTCGTTCTCTGAGAAATAATTTGCGAGCAAGAGCCGCCGCTGCTCCAGCTGCTCCACCAGCTGCTGCAGGTCTGCCAGCTGCATGCTACACGACGTCACTGGTTCTGTACGTTATCATTATGTATTATAATACGGGTACTGCGTTAATAAGGCTTTATGATTATATATTTATAATACAGGTAATTGTGTTAATAAGGCTTTATGATTATATAATTACAATACGGTTATTGAATTACATACAATTGCAATTGACGAATAGTCGCCAGCCTTACAAGCCGTCACTGTCATTATTATGCATTTATTTAGTGCAGTTAAACTATTTCTAGGCTTCTAGTTTCTCGAATGATCACGCTCGTGTATTCACGGGGGACATAGGTACATATGAGCATGGGTTCAGACAAAGCCCATCTGGAGGTTCAGGAACCCTAACAAATTTTAAATGCGGGCCCAGCTCCGAAATAGGTGCCGCCTATGACTCGGGGGGCGCGTAAATCAGCCGCTATGTATGCTCCACTAACAAAATTCGGGTATGCTTCAGCCTCCGCCCCGGAGTTGCTATGTTCGCGTAAGAGTTATTCTGGGTCAGTTGGCCAACTGATCGCAGTCAGTGACTAGTCAGAACCTCCTTGCCGATTTTATAGTCTCCTGAGAGTAGGGCAAGAGTTGGCAGAATGAGGACTAGGCGCTTGTAGCTGTCTGATTCGGGGACCGGAATGTAGACCAAAGCGGAAATAAAGAAGCTGATTTACGTTCGGTCCGAGTCCAAGGCGGTTCCTAATTCAGGGTCGCCACTAACTCAAAATTTTAATAGGGCCGCTTTGGCTCAGGGTTCGCAGAGCAACCTCTGGGCAGCTGATCGACAAGCTCAGTATGACTCGGCTCGGCCGACCCTTCCCATACTCTCAGGCGACTATTAAGTTGGAAATAACTTCTTATCAGAAGCTGATTTCGATCAAACGACCCAGCAGACCCATAATTTCTCTAAGCCGAGTGTAGCGACTTATAGGCAGAAGATAAAGCTTTATCAGAACTTTGGTTAGGGAACAAAGTGACATCTTTTGAGTAACCGTTTTTTTAGAGTAACCGTCGAAGATACAGGAAAATTAAAAGTATAGCTACAGCTGAAGGTAAATAAGCAACTGAAAGCTGAGTCAGCTTCAGCAGGCGAGTACCGATGAAGGTGTTGGCGACGTCAGGCGGGGCGGCCTGCAGCTGCGATGCTGTCAGCGCCACGGCGGCGACCTGAGCCTGCACCTCCGCGGCTAGCGCCTCCACCGACAGCCTGCGTCAGACACGAGCGTCATCAGCCTGTGTCAGACATCAGCGTTAGGAGCCCTAAGTATCAAAAACACCTTCATTCACTCGGCCCTCCTTACATCCTAACGCCTAACATCCCCCCACCCACCCGATCACGTCCTGAAGGCAGGCTAGCTGGCTGGTGAAGGCCAGCAGGTCAGCAGGCTGCTGACTACAGGTCGCAACGATGTGGTGCAGCAGCGTCAGCCCCGCCTCGTTGGCGCGCGTCTCCCACACGCGGGCCAGCGTCGCAAGGCTGAACCCAGCGGCGTTGCCTGCGTAGCTTCCCTGCTCGTCGATCGTAGGAAGTCAGACTCATGATTGTGGTTAAGAGCATCGTACAGCCTAACAAATAGAAGAATATATGGGAATTTCTAACAGTTGGTAATCTTGGTGGGCATTTCTGACGTAGCAGTCCCTGGCCACGTTGACCTAAGTATTCTGCATAAGTTGTTCTCGCCACTAAAGACCCCAGGCCTTGTCCATACTTACTGCGCATTTGCCTCAGTTGGGTCAGCTGATGTCCTCAGTTGGGATAGTTGATACCCTTAGTTGGGTCAGCGAATGCACGATACTGTTGCTTGCTTATTGCTGATGGTATTGAGGCAGAGTCGGACGATTTGCAATTGTTCTCAGGAACTCATCCAGTCGTTTCTTGAAGGTCTTCAATGTGAACTCTCCCCTCCATCTTAGCTCCATGCATGTGCCAGACGTTTAACAGCTAGTGTTATTTCATGGAAAGGGATCATTCTCACAGGGATTGAAATCTGACCGAAGCTCTGTTGCGTAATGGTGGTATACTGAAAATAGTGGACGGTCTCCCTCTTCTTTCGTTACGGTATGACACAATCCTGAAGCTCTCACTTTTGAAGTTAGTTACCTGGCCGGTAATTACATTCCATGTGCACAGAATGACACACCTTTCCTGTCTCCTGGGGCAGTGAGTACAGCCCCAGGCACTTCAGCCAACCCCACTAGTCTAGCTCCTCCATCCCGGTGATCCTGGAAAATAAGGTTTGCTGGACCGCTTACAATTGTCGTGAACGGGGTCCAAAGCTTGCAGCAGTACTTAAGGAGAGGGATCACAAGGGCTCCGCAGAGTGTGATTATTGGTACCGATTCTGTTCTGAACGTTCGGCAGATCCACCGCCTCTGTCGCCGGCCTCTTTTAGTTATTGCCGGTATGTGGTCACGAAACTCAACCCAAGTACTCATCGTCATTGCAAGGTTGCGAACGAGTTTCTAATTACTTACATTACTGCTCCGTCCGGTGACAGGTAGCGGTGACGCCAGCCTCCTATATAACACTATGACTAAAAATTTGGTGAGGATGCAAAAGCAGTTGGGACAAGCAGGAACGATTTCGCCGGAAACCGTGTTGTCTTCTATTGAAAAAAAAACAGCTTCCTACATGTACTTACCGACTTTTTGGCTACGACCTTCTCAAACACCTTGATTACATGTCAAGTGATTTATGTAATCATACTTCATTCTGCCTAAGATAAAAAAATCACTGGTTTATGAATACTCCACCTTAGACACGGTGTTGCAAACTCGATGTTCATCAACACCCTCTGGAAGTTCATGCTAGATTTCTTTTTCGTTCTCCTGTCTTTAGTATCGGAGGTTCCTAAGTACTTCTTCGAACTGCGCTCTTAGCGTTTGGCGCATGCTCTGGTCGTCTCCTAATGAGGAAATTGTTGTTATTCAGAGGTTCCAGTCGTGCCCTTTGACTGATGATATTTGTAGAAATATTAGGGGCTCTCCCGACTGGCACCCACTAGATGCTCGCTCCTCCGCTTCCTGTTCCCCAGTCTCGCGTGAGGCAAGCAGCTGTAGTTAAATTTTCTCAATTCGGTGCACAAGCCTCCGCCTTTTCATATCCCTGGAGGCATCCGATACGATATCTGTTTCTTCCGACTTGCTCGTTTTCTCGTGGAGATTCGCCTGTCCCTTGGAATCATGCGTCGTTTAGAGGTCGTTCCTCCCGGCATGTGATGCGCGTACAACTGCAGTAATACTTCGCTTATATGGCTTGTTGTGCATTGCTTCGGCATTTAACTTCAGGAACTTAGATCGTCAATCGACTTCAAAGAGTTCGTTTCCCAATGGCCTCCCAGTCCGTTCGTTGGTGGCGAAAATTTCGCCCAGCCAGGTCCTCTCGAGATGCAGGTCTGGGCTGGTTCCCAATCCTGATTATTGTCTCGACCACCACTAGACGGAGGTCTGATAGTGTAGTCTCCTCAACCCAAACATCAGCAACCAGTTCTTCATTGCTGGTAAAGAATGGATCCAGGATATTGTGTTCTCTTGTTGGCACCCGCACTGTTGACAAAGGAGATGCTCACCAGCAAATTTCACTAGTTTATCTTCCTGACTTCTAGCAAGGTTTAGTTGTGAACATCACATGCGTGGTAGATTGAAGTCTCCCCCATCGCCATGCAGGTTTGGGCTAGGCTCTAGGTCCAGCCACATTGGTCTCGATCTCCTTAAGGGCCTTGTTGAAATTATTCGATGGTTAAGTAGGTGGTCTATAGACTACTGCTACACAGAGGCCGAAAAGTTGTATAACTCGTGTTCAATGAAGCCATCAGAGTTCGAACTCAATTCCACCGTGCATCCTGCGACGGAGTTGCTAAGGAAAACAAATACTCCTCCCTCTTCTTCCGTTTCTACGGTCTGCCCGGTGATTTTGGAAACTACTTCTTACTCGCTTTGCGTGTAAAGTAATCGAATGATTCTAATATGTACTTCAAAAAGGATTTTCATTCAAATCAAAACAATTTTTTGCGCGAGAATATGATGCTGACTATAGTTACATTAGCACGAGAATGCGATGCACGGGTTCTGCGAAAGCTTGTTCCCACTACATCACACCACCCGTTGAAATATTCACAACGAAAATATTATGTATTTTTTTAACGGTTTAATCAAGAAAATACCATCCGTTGAAGGTTGCATTATTAATATGCTTCAATTTTTTTCGTAGTATCATCAGAATACCATTCAATTTCCGGTTGTTCCTTAAAAATACCTTACAATTTATGGTTACATCATGAAAATACTCCTTTTATGGTTGCATTAGAAAATCCTTTTTTTATTATCAAATCATAAAAAATCATTTAAATTTCAGGGTTGCATTATGAGAATACTTCTCGATGTTAGGTTGACTCAAAAAAAGTTTCTATATCACAGAATAAAAACAATTAAAAATGAAGGAATTATCTGGGCTTTGCACGGACCGAGTTGATGAAGTTGCCGAGCGCGAGGACCTGCGCGAAGAAGAGCTTCACCGAGTCGCTGGTGTGGATGACATCAGCCGCCGTCAGGAGGCCCTCCAGCTGGGGCCTAAGGCGGGCCACGGTTGGGCCGACCTCACCCGTCTGAAGAGGACCAGGTATTAAATTAATAGCTACATAGATGGGCCTCGGTTAGGCCGACCTCACCCGTCTGAAGAGGACCAGGTAATCAATTAACAACTAAATAGATGGGCCTCGGTCGGGCCTATCTCCCCCATTTGCAGGGTGTGATGTAATCAATTGACAGCTACAAGGGGCAACCAGGGAATGCCTTCAAATTCAGAGAGGGTGAAGAAATTTCCCCTTTATAACATGCCAGTCAAAGGGGGGTTATTTGCACAAGGAGCAACCAGGGAATGCCTTCAAATTCAGAGAGGGTGAAGAAATTTCCCCTTCATAACATGCGACCTGATGGTGGGGTAATTTACGGACACTTTACGGCAGTACCTGAATCATGGCGGATACCCTAAGTGAGTACCTGAATCATGGCGGACACTCTAAGTGAGTACATCGGTACTCTAGAGAGCGCGAGGCAGAATTGTTCTGCGGGCGCGAGGCGCGAGGCATCCGCCTCGTGCTCGACGGCTTGGTCCACCTGTGGCCAGTCAATACAGTTGGCTTCAGAAGCATTCCGGAAATAAATACACAGACTATTATAATGACTATTATCTGTTTTCAGATAGAAACATAGCGAGAAATCGTGCATTACCAAACAACAAGCACACTGATGATAACAGAGGGTTAATATAATAAATATTATATATAAATGTAAATATAAAAATAGCACATAACGTAGAGGTCACATCAGAGTGGACAAAAATATTCTTTCATAGGTACCGATTAGGAATCTGAGAAGCAAATATATATATCTCGATCACAGAAGAGCATTCGAATATGATTCTCCATTGATTACTGATAAGCAAGATAATTTGTCGGGTTACGCTCACCTCTTCCTTGTCCGGCAAGACTTTAAAGAGACTCCGGAGATGGTCAATGTCCACCTTGGTCGCATCACCGTTCCGTATGATGGCTACGACATCCTCCGTTGTACCCTTGAATGCCTTCAATGTGATGTTCAGGTTCATGGACTTCTTAGGATCCATGAAGGCGATGAGGGAGTCCTTCTTCTTTGTCGGCAACGGAGTGGATCCTACGGAATCGGAAGCGTCCGCGGAGGTTTTCTCAGTTTGCCCGAAGAGCGACTCTAAGGCCGCGTAGTCGATGGAGGTCTTAGCATCGGAGTCGAGCCTTGTCACTACTTCCTTCCAGATCGATTCTTCACTGGGCTGTGAGAAATATGCACGTTCAATAAGCAAATGCGATGAATTAAATGTGATAAATTCGCTTATTCATGCGATAGATGCGATGAATAATGCGATCAGTTACCATTATCATTCAAGAGATAAATGAGATTAATTACAAGGTAAGAAATAATTTTATAAATAATGTCGTAATTTTAGACAATACAGAATATATGATCAAAAAAATAGACAAGGCAGGTTTTCCTAAAATTCAACTATCAAAGGAATTTCACGGCCACCCTGACCTCTACTGTCGTTACGAAGCGACTACAGCCTTCTTAGTGGTCCACGGCTCCGGCAACCATCACAACTTAGCGCCCGGCCGAAAACTTCCCAGACAAGCAAGGTCTCCACCGACTACCTTTAGCCATCGACCATGTGGCCACCGACCTCGTTTGGCAATCGACCATATGTGCCCACCGACCTCATTAGGCCATCGACCATAAGTGGCCACCGACCTCATTTGGCCACTGACCTCATTTGGCCATCAACCTCATTTGGCCACCGACCTCATTAGGCCATCGACCATATGTGGCCCCCAACCTCATTAGGCCATCGACCATATGTGGCCCCCGACCTCATTTGGCAATCGACCATATGTGGCCCCCGACCTCATTTGGCCATCGACCATATGTGGCCACCAACCATATGTGGCCCCCGACCTCATTTGGCCACCGACCTCATTTGGACATCGACCATATGTGGCCACCGACCTCATTTGGCCACCAACCATATGTGGCCCCCGACCTCATTGGGCCACCGACCTCATTTGGACATGGACTACGTGCGGCCATCGACCACGACTTATGGCCTTCAGCTGCACATGTCCATCACTGACCTGAACTTTGGTCCAGTTAAGACGCCGCATTTTACGCGACGGCCGCGGCAGACGCCAGCAGAAGAGCGGCACGCCGCGGGGGGGGACCCGACGAGCCCAAGTGGGGGGCCTTAGATGCCTTCAGCTCCCCAGGGGGTGCGGGCGGGGGAGGGCCACCGCCAGGCGGTGGAGGAGGTGGAGGAGGGCCACCGCCAGGTGGTGGAGGAGGTGGAGGTGGGGGAGGAAGGCCACCGCCACGTGGTGGAGGAGGTGGAGGTGGGGGAGGGCCAACGCCAGGTGGTGGAGGAGGTGGAGGTGGTGGAGGGCCACCGCCTGGCGGTGGAGGAGGAGGAGGTGGAGGAGGAGGGGGAGCTCCCCCACACGGTGGTGGGGGGAGGGTAGCTGAACCATCACGATCTTCTGACGGGCTCTCCTCTCTCACACCTGAGAAACGAATAGCCAATTAATAGCAATAGTTCATAGACCGCGTACAGGTTATCTCGCGTTAAAGCGTCAAGTAATCCCGACCAAACGTAATACATATAATAATATTTAACATAGATTGTGCGAAGAAGTTGAGAGCGGTCGAAATTCATTGTGCATACTAAAGCAGAATGAGACTTGACCAAAAGACCGGCATAACGTAACCTGGGAGCAAGTTTTTTTTTTTGTATTTTATATCGGCTGAGGGCACCATGAGCTGACCGAGGGAAACTCGAAACTGTTGCAGCGTCTTCTCGGTAGGCCTAGGTGTGTGAAACGCCTGCCTATATATGCACCTTAAAATTCGTGTCAAATGGTTGTTCTTCAGTAGTAACTGTCACGCAAGTACGGTCTGTTCCCCAAACGTAGGTGTTGGCCCTAGCCCTAGCAGGCGGCTCGAAAAATTTCGAGTCATTCATACTGTCTGGTGTTAATCTGGCATCTCATTATAATCATTGTAATTATATTATATGATTAGATCATATGTAATTGAGACGTAATATTCACTTGGCCTGATAGAGATAGATGGAAAAGCACGAGACATGAGTCAGCATCTGGAAGACATCACGTGATAGATCACGCGATCAAGACCTTAGTTGTGGGCGGAAGCGGAAGCTATATAAGGGCTGGTGACCTTAGTAAGAGCCCTCTCGCAGTGGTTAATAAGAGCTCCGCGATGTAACGTGTCGGTTGAGTTCTTCGACCTTACGGTCGACGCCGTAGCTTATACCTCTGTATCGTAACTCATATATTACCACCCCGTACATAAGACATCTCATCTAGACAGATATGTCATACTTATCTTTCACGACCTTAGTCACTTAACCCGATCCTCAGGTATAGCTTAATAATTGAGCTCTGACAATACCACTACGACTCCTGTATAACAACGTCATAAAACTACAAGTAACGGATATTATTTCGGCACATTTATATACTGCCAACATCAACACCACGTCTTTGACTTAGCACGTCTCAAGCTGACCTTCATGCGACGTCTGGGTGGCAACGCAAGCAACATTATTGACAGACGCAGCTGAGCTGACAGGAACAGCTGAGCTGACAGGAGCAGCAGAGTTGACAGGAGCAGCAGAGTTGACAGGAGCAGCAGAGCTGACAGGAGCAGCTGAGCTGACAGGAGCAGCAGAGCTGACAGGAGTGAGGATGTCATACCAGCGCTGAGGCGGCAACCCGTCGGCAGCGCGGCCACTGAGTCGCAGCAGAGCGTCCCACGCGAGGTCGCTGCAGAGGCAACATTCCCGTGTAAAATTATTACTAAGTTTCCAGGGAAATAGCTATTTCTAGGTGGCAATTTTGCCAGGTTCCAGAGGAAATAGATGGCAGATACCTAACTGGTATTATTGCTAGATACTCGGTGATTAATTCGTCTTTTAAATGAGTACATTTTGTTTTATTTAAACATGACAGTAGAACTGCTGCAATAGACAATGCCGTGTCCTGGAAAATGTACGTAATAATTGAGAGGGTGATCCAATGTAAGTATTGCACCAGCAACGGTAGAACGAATTGCGATGTGAGAAATGTTGCATTTACAGTAGCAGAATGTGTGTGGATTTTTGGAGGATTTCCAACGACTTTAAATACAGACTGGGAATAGCTTGAGTAGGATTACATTATTTTAATGATGGATTTACCGTAAGTGGATAAGTCATTAAACAAAAAATGGATGGTTGTATGACAAATGGAAATGTCATGTAGATGCATGACGCACGAAAATACAAGATAATTGCATGAATGAAAGATGGAAAAGTCAGGTAGTTGAATGGTGGATGGAAAGACCAGGTGGATATATGACGGCTGGAAAGTGCAGATGGATGTATGACGGATGGAAAGTTCAGATGGATGTATGATGGATGGAAATTGATCGATAGCTGCGTTTTGTCAACAGATGGCAGAGCCACCACCACCTGTCATCACCACCCCGTGTCCCACCTGTGAGGACCGTCCAGCTGCGTGAGGTCGCGTAGCAGCAGAAGCAGCCGAGCGCACTGCGGCGTCTCGCGCACCTGTCACATAAAACATGAATAATGACCAGAAACTGGCGCACAGAGCTGGGATCGAACCCGCACCTCTCTGCTCCAGTCATGGTACTCTGAACTTTTAGCCGTAGGGTCACCCTTTTGCCAGTATTTTCGTGAGTTTTGCTATTGTTTGAAGTATTGCTGAGGTTTTGGTGAGGTTAACTAACATATTTTAGGTTATAGAAAAATTCTGATTAAAAATAACCAGCTGAGGGACCATTGTTGATAACGAAAATTTACGTCAACACCAATGGCAGTGACACAACTGGCGTTAACAAAACCTGTTGGTGTTGGAACTTCAGTCTCACCTTATCGAAGAGCTCGTCGAAGAAGTGGTGAGGGGTGGCGAGATGCTGGTAATTCTCCCCGTAGAGTTTCTTCATATCTTCTTCACGTAATTCTTCGTAAGCAGCGAGCTGTAGGCGCACTCCTGTGTCGTCATCCAGGGAGCTGTCGCTACTATAAGGGGGATGACATACGTTTTTTAATTATAATAAAATTAATATGTAATTCGCAAAATAAAAATAATTACGAACAATAAATTTGCATGAAAAATGAAAGGTGGATGTATGACGGATGGAAAGACCAGGTGGATGTATGACGGATGGAAAGACCAGGTGGATGTATGACGGATGGAAAGACCAGGCGGATGTATGACGGATGGAAACGATAAGCGAAACGATAAATAATTCGAGAGCGGGTATTTGTTTTGAATTATTGTGGGAAAATGATTATACTATTTTCAATTTTATATTAACGTGGAAATGCTGAGAAGAAAGAATACTCGAATTGCACAAAGATGTCGTTCAATATCATGAATATAACAGAGAAGGCGAGCATCAGTTCGGCACGACTGCAACACCGACATCTTTGAACAAGAAAATTAGATTTTTCTATGCTTTCGTATGCAAGAAAAAATTTCCATGGGAATTAAATTTGCATAAGCTCAGGCTGGCCACGTGTTTAAAATCACCAAGATTGGAGCTATGTGTAGGGGTTCTGAAACTCATGATAAGTTGTAAATGTTTTCTTCGAAATCGATGAGATGGCCGGGTGTTTAATAATCGACAAAAGACTAACATGACCTAATCAAAGCTGTCACCGATATATTATACTATTTTTTACAACGGGCATACGGCTAAGACTGTTTCCATGTCACATAGGAAGTTTAGAAAAATTGCACAAACTAACCCATTTGCTGGATTACTAGCGGATTCATAGCCAACTAAGAAGCAAAGATATTCTAGATATTACTAATTTCTACATAATTAATTTCAACAAAGAGCGAATTTCATTAATAATTTCAAAATTAAAATGAAGGAAACAAATGATATCATTGCTGAGAGGGTAACTCACTCAGATCCAGAACTTTCATCCAGGTGTGAGGGCTGGTCGGCGGTTTCAGACGTGACTGAATCATTAAGATCACTTCCATGAATCAGCGGCTGCGTATGAGCTTCATTCACGGCATTCAAATCCCGAGATTCTGCTTGTACTTCTTTTTTCTCGATGCTTGAGATGTCGTTTACTTTAAACGATGCGTTATCAGGCTTAGTCACTTGCTGTTTCGAGTCAGAAGACGTTTTATCTGTAGCAGTATTCTCCTTTTCACTGATAGGAGACAATTTTTCTACGTTGGGATCTACTTTTTCTGGGCTAGGGAATACTTCTTCAGCGCCACCGTCCTTTGGCTTACCGAAATTCTTGTTAGCTTCATCTGCGCCATCAGAAGAAATTTCTGTAGGAGCGCCTGAACCACTTTTAGGAGCACCTGAAGAAGTTTCTGGACCACTTTTAGGAGTACCTGAACCACTTTTAGGAGCACATGAAGAAGTTTCTGGACCACTTTTAGGAGCACCTGAAGGAGCACCTGGACCACTTTTAGGAGCACCTGAAGGAGCACCTGAACCACCCGAAGCAGCAGCACCTGCAGAAGCACCCGAAGATCTAGGCAAGTCTTTCTTAAGGCCCTCGCTCCTCGTGACGGGCTTCCCGACGTCCGCATGACGACCGTCCTTAACATCGCCGGTAGACCTTCTGCATCTTCCTTCCTGCCAAGGCTCTTTCCTCAGCTGCTCGAAGATCTGGAGCAGACCAAAGCCTGGGAAAGTTGAGAATAAGCAAATTTATCAAAATTTTACGTTAATTTTCAGGTTGTTGCTCACGATTTGACTGCAAATCGGGACACAGTGGCACATTTTTTCTCATAAGTGACGTTGAGTAATGTAAATTATGCGTTTTTCGGTCAGGTGAAATAAGTGATCCTCTTGTTGATTGGCAGTCGATGATGATTATAACATAATCTAATAATAACTTTATTATTACGTAATCAACTGATGACGAATCGACGATAAAGATACGTATAATTATTCGATAAAAATTGTGATTCCAAAATTACTAATTTTTTTATTATTTAATAACTTTGAATACTACAAATAATAATTAACTGCTTTCAGGTGGTTCAATAAAGGAGATTTTTCCAAAGAGTTCTTTGCCCAATCACTCATCCAGGTCAAATGTAGCGCTGGATCAGCAGTTACGGTCCAGGGGCCATACTTTCAAAACTTGCTAAGTGAACGTAAGTACTTACGCTCTATTTTCTTGTCTATGATTGGTGGATTTTGCTTGAAAGGCCGTCAATGA